GCCTTTGAACATGCCGATGTTCTTTGGGCTCTAGGTCCTTCGCGTGACACGTCCTTCGGGACTCCTCTCGTCTCGGCTCCTCTCGTTCGACTTCCCTGGAAGGCAGGTGAGAGTACCTTCCGCTCCTAGTGTGCTGAGGGGCTTCGGGGATTGTTTTCCTTCCTCCCTTCTGGGTATTAGTTGCTGGCATCGGCGTGTCCTGCAGCGGGTACGGTACTGCATGACATTGTTTTGCATCATGAAGTTGACGACCGACTGCGGGTCTGCCAACTTGTTTGCCAATTCTTTTACTTCTTCATCCCTCTGTAGGCACCTATCCCTCCATACCTGGAGGTTATTTTCGTTATAGTACCTGCTCTGGTCTGTTTTTTTGAAGTGTCGCTCTCCTGGTCGACGTCTTTCTCTCCATGGCCCTGGTCACGAGTTTCTACATTGTACTCGTCTCCTGTGACTTCAAGGTCAATCGGCCTCCCACTCCTAGCAGGAGCGTCGTCTCCAACCTATTCTTTCTGTACGTTACTGGCCATCTATTCTAACTTCTTTCCCACAGACGGCACCAAATTGTGTGGACGATTTTCTGACCACACTGCCCATTTAGTAATCAGCTAGAGAGCACTGGTAGAATAGATGGCTTCAGCTAACCTGTAACAGAAAGAGAAGGCTCCGACGGTGGCTCTTCCACCCGAGGGCACTCCGACGATCAAGTCAGTATATCTCTCAAAAATAATCAAGTGCTAAAATCACTGCCCAAAGCATAAATTGCGTACCTTAGACCTACGGGGGTGCCTCTCTTTTATAGTTGACTCAATCCCAGTTTCACTAGAAGCCTGACTTCTATGGACTCCAATTCAATACTCCCTCCGTCCCAAAATAATGGTCCCTTTTGGAAAATCCAACTTTTTTTGGTAGTACAATTATTGCATTTGAAAAAAGTTGATTTTTCAAAATTACCCTTTTGATAGTACATTTTTTGAGAATATCAATGTTATGATTGTACTTTTTATATTGTTTATTAATTTAAAAGAAGGGCAAAATAGAAAATTTACATTATTTTTGTACTTGATTTTTGAAGAGGGACTAATATTTTGGGACAATGAAAAATGGAATAAGAGACTAATATTTTGGGACGGAGGGAGTACTTACTTTGGATTCCTCAAGAGATAAAAATAAACTCCCTAAGAGATTTAGATAAACTCCCTAAGAGATTTATCCTCATCCTGACTAATATAACCCAAAACAAACGGAGCCTACCCGTTTGTTTCCAGAGATGGAATGGAGGGGATTGATAGTGAGGGGATTAATAGTGAGGGGATTATTAGTGAGGGTCGTTTGTTTTCAGAGATAGAATGGAGGGGATTGATAGTGAGGGGATTGATAATGAGGGGATTGTTAGAGAGGGGATTGATAGTGAGGGGATTAGTAGTGAGGAGATTGATAGTGAGGGGATTAGTAGTGAGGGGATTGATAGTGAGGGGATTAGTAGTGAGGAATTGTTAAATTATTTTTATATAAAATAATAAAACAAATAAAAAAATATAAAAAATTAAAAATTATATTTTTAAAAAAATTTCCAATATATAAAAAATAAAAAAAATAAAAAAAATTTCTAATCCCCTCACTATTTTTCTAATACCATCTCTACCTCCTCACTATGAATCCCCTCCCCAAGGGTATTAGTAATACCAAGGTATTAGTAGTACCCTCCCTATCTCTCAAAACAAACAAGGTATTAGTAATACCAAGGTATTAGTTAGTCCCAAGGTATTAATAGTCCCAAGGCTATTAACAATCCCCTCATTATTAATCCCCTCACTATCAATCCCCTCACTAACAATCCCCTCATTATTAATCCCCTCACTATCAATCCCCTCACTAACAATCCCCTCATTATTAATCCCCTCACTATCAATCCCCTCACTAACAATCCCCTCATTATTAATCCCCTCACTATCAATCCCCTCACTAACAATCCCCTCATTATTAATCCCCTCACTATCAATCCCCTCACTAACAATCCCCTCATTATTAATCCCCTCACTATCAATCCCCTCACTAACAATCCCCTCATTATTAATCCCCTCACTATCAATCCCCTCACTAACAATCCCCTCATTATTAATCCCCTCACTATCAATCCCCTCACTAACAATCCCCTCATTATTAATCCCCTCACTATCAATCCCCTCACTAACAATCCCCTCATTATTAATCCCCTCACTATCAATCCCCTCACTAACAATCCCCTCATTATTAATCCCCTCACTATCAATCCCCTCACTAACAATCCCCTCATTATTAATCCCCTCACTATCAATCCCCTCACTAACAATCCCCTCATTATTAATCCCCTCACTATCAATCCCCTCACTAACAATCCCCTCATTATTAATCCCCTCACTATCAATCCCCTCACTAACAATCCCCTCATTATTAATCCCCTCACTATCAATCCCCTCACTAACAATCCCCTCATTATTAATCCCCTCACTATCAATCCCCTCACTAACAATCCCCTCATTATTAATCCCCTCACTATCAATCCCCTCACTAACAATCCCCTCATTATTAATCCCCTCACTATCAATCCCCTCCATTCTATCTCTGAAAACAAACGACCCTCACTAACAATCCCCTCACTATTAATCCCCTCACTATCAATCCCCTCCATTCCATCTCTGGAAACAAACGGGGCCGGACTCTTGTCCTTTATCTCTTATCCGCTTATCTCGGATTCCGATATCTTCGTAGATAACCTTCGCTTGACCGAGATAACCTCGGTGTTAAGATCCTGACACGTGGAACCTCGGCTGACACGTCGGCGTCACCTTACCACGTGTCGGTACTCAAAAAATATATCCCCACAAAAAATGGTGTGACTTAAAATAAATTATAAATTAAAATCTAACTTTTAGCTAATTTTCCAAGTCACCTCTATCTTGCGCCTCTTTCCACAAAATTTGTGTATTAATTGAAACTTGACAACGATAGTGTATTAATTCAAACTTGACAACGATAGTTGATTAAAATCAAGACAAATGGTGAAAATCTCCACCATACAGTCCCATTATTCTTGCTACTCCCTCTGTCCCAAAATATTAGTCCTTTATTTTATTTTTTATTGTTTCAAAATATTAGTTCATCTTCAAAAATCAAGTACAAAAATAATATAAATTTCTTATTTTGCCCTTCTTTTAAATTAATAAACAATATAAAAAGTACAATTATGATATTGATATTCCTAAAAAATGTACTATCAAAAGGATAATTTTGGAAAATCAATTTTTTTCAAATATAATAATTATACTACTAAAAAAAATTAAATTCATCAAAAGGGACCATTATTTTGGAACGGAAGGAATATCATTAATATAACGTACTATGCTGAAAATGAAACCTCATATAAAGATTAATGCCTCATACACCCACTGGGGGTCGACCCCCAGTGAGGTGGCACAACTAGCTAATGTGTAGCTCATTGCATAGACTTGTTCGGGGAGAAATGTTTTTAAGTAAAAAAAATAAAAAAAATCATCATTATTAGTGTTAATTTATTCTCTTTATTTTTAATTTTTTTGAGTAAATTATAAATTCATCTCTGAAATTTGATTAAAATATGAATCTTCTTCTATGATTTGGAAATTACATTTCATCTCTTGAAGTTTCTAACTTTATAACAAATTGTCAATTTTATTAATAAATTATTAAATCAATTAACAGTTTTTAATTATATTAGAAATATGTTTCAATTAATAATTCAAGTAATTTTATTATTGTATATGAGAACAGGAATGAATTTTATTTTTTTAATTAATTTTGTTAAATAAAAAATTATTACAATAGGTATTTATAATTTGGAAAATTTACCCATAAGTCCTAGTTTTTGAAACGTTGAACCATTTAGTCCTAAAAGTTTTCTTATGCTCCATTTAGTCCCATTTTTACATCAACATGATGTGAATGATATAAATGATCTGATGTTCCATTCTATAATTTCAAAATTTATTGAAATCTGATGAACATTAGATGTTTTTCATCCTATATTTTCAAACATTATTGAAATTTGATGAACATTAGATGTTTAAAATCCAATGTTTGTAACATGACTCTGATGTTATTAACATTGTATCTGATGTTATTAACATTGTAATGGGACCTTTCAGTCTATAAGAAAACTTTTAGGACTAAACAGTGCATAAGTTATTAATTTGGGATTTATTGGTGCATCCCCCTTATAATTTTTCAAATCACAGAGAGCAATTTATACTTTAAACAAATCTCAAAGGATATATTTATAATTTATTCTTTTTTACCAAAAAAAAAATATTACTAAAAGAGTCAATTTTTAAACGACAACTTAGTATTATACAAATAAAATTTTTATGAAAAATGGCATTTCTTATTTTTTCCATCTCATTTCTTAATAAAACAAAGAAAGCATTAACTTCGCTAATAATGTTGGGGGAAAAAAATTAGCTGTCGTTTGACAAAAACTTTTTTAGTTGGGTTTTTAGAGTTGAGACTTTTTTAACTTGGAACTAAAAAGTTCGTTTATATAAACTTTTTTGGCTTTTTGTTGATTTTTGTAAAAGAAAAAGTAAAACGATAATGGTTTAAATATGACATTTTATCTTATTGACTTTTTAATTTATTTTATTGTTTGTTTGTTTTTTTTTTTTTTTTTTTTATTTTTTTATTTTACGAATTTAGCCAAAACTTTCATGCCAAACGACACCTGACTCATCATTATGGATAGAATTTCTGCATGAAAACTATGTTAGTGAACCATTTTCCTTCCCTTGTGCATAGACTGGTAGAGCAAGCAATGGGTCAAGCACATTGTCTACGCAATTGCCGTGCTGCAAACGTTTCAGAGGTCTTTTCAAGTGGCATTGTTTCAACGAACTTTTTAATGGTTGAAATTTTAAGAGGATAATAATTGACCTTAAAGGAAGACCCAAAAAAAACTATTTTTTAGATTATATAAAGCATTGTAAAAATGCTTGATTCATTAGCCAAAAAAAAAACAAAACAAAATAGTAATGGCGAAGTGGCTTTGTGTTGTCTACACTACCTTTGTGTGGTGGTGCTTTTTCAGCAACACCCCTGCCAATTGCTTGGTAAATGAAACAGATAGATTAGCCTTGATTGCTTTCAAGGCTTCAATAGATCAAGACCCATTTGGGGTCTTGAGATCCTGGAATGATTCAGTGCACCATTGTGATTGGAAAGGAATTTTGTGTAGTGGCCGACATCGCGATAGAGTCGTTGAGTTGAACCTAATGTCCCAGGGCCTAATAGGATCACTCTCACCTCATATTGGAAACATGTCCTTCCTAAAAGAAATTATTCTTCCAAACAATAGCTTCCATGGCCCAATCCCACAAGAAATTTCTCGATTGTTTCGACTTCGAAACATAGCACTCAGCAACAATTCATTTCAAGGTGAAATACCCATAAACATTTCGCGATGCTCAAATCTTGAAGTCCTTAACCTGATTAACAACAGGCTGACAGGTAACATCCCGACCGAGTTAGGATCTTTGTCAAAGCTTAGAGGTTTAGGCTTAGGTGGTAACAAGCTTTCAGGAACCTTCCCTCCTTCCCTTGGCAATCTTTCGTCTCTTTCCAAACTTTCTTTATATGACTGTGGTTTGCATGGAGAGATTCCCAAGGAAATTGCCCAGCTTCAGGTCTTGACATTCATCCAATTATCAGATAACTATCTATCTGGCGAGATTCCTGCAGGCATTTACAACATCTCGACTCTCTCTGTGTTTGTAGTATTGTATAATCAACTTCATGGAAGTATTCCTAATGATATAGGCTTAACCCTTCCCAATCTCAAGTATCTTGGTCTTCTAAGCAATCGGTTTACAGGACGACTTCCTATTTCATTGTCAAATGCTTCTAAACTTGAGCAAGTAGTTTTCAGTGTTAATGATTTTGTGGGTCCAATACCAAGAGATCTTGGAAGACTTTTAAATCTTCGACAACTGATCGTTGATGTGAATAGGTTGCAAGATGACCTCGGTTTTATTTCATCATTAACAAATTGCACGAGTTTACAAACTCTTGTCCTTGGCAGCAATCTTCTCAGAGGTCCAATACCCGAGTCCATAGCAAATCTCTCATCCACGATTAGCGCAATTGGAATTGAGGACAATCAAATACATGGAAGCATACCTTCAGGTATTGGGAACCTTCTCAACCTTAATGCCCTTGTTCTGGCAGTGAATTATCTCAGTGGCCCTATTCCTACCACAATAGGGAAACTTTATAATTTGCAACTACTTCATTTATACCAAAACAATTTCACACAACTACCATCTTCACTAGGAAACTTAACTTTGTTGAACTATCTCTACTTGGGCCACAACAATATCTATGGAAGCATACCTCCGACTCTCAGCAATTGTAGTAGCCTGCTGGAATTAAATATTACTCATAATAATCTCCATGGTTCAATACCTCCTGAAATTTTGAGTCTCTCCTCCATTTCAATCGCCTTCAGTTTATCTTACAATGCATTGACCGGTTCCCTTCCATCAGAAGTTGGGTCTTTGAAAAATCTTGAAGTGTTGGATATATCTAATAATAGATTGTCAGGTTCTCTTCCAAGCTCTTTGGGCAATTGCTTGAGCTTAGAACAACTTCATTTGGAAGTTAATTCATTTGAAGGTAAGATACCTCAGAGTTTGAGAGAGCTAAGGGGTTTACAAGAGTTGGACCTTTCACACAACAATTTATCGGGGTTGATCCCTAGTTTTCTAGGCGATCTTAAATTAGAAAAGTTGAATTTGTCTTTTAACAGATTGCATGGGGAAGTTCCAATGGGGGGAGTTTTTCAAAATGGAAGTGCTATTTCTGTGGTTGGAAATATTGATCTATGTGGAGGTAGTCCAGACCTCAACCTTCCTCTTTGCCCCTCATCAAAATCCAACAAGAATAAGCTCTCTCACAAAATGAAAGCCATACTCGCAGTCGTGGCTACACTTGTGTTATGTTTAATTTTGTTTGTCTGGTTCTTCATATTCCTTCATTGGCGACGTGTTTCAAGAAAGAAGGCCAATTCCGCGTCATCACTGGAGGACCAAATGTTAAGGGTTTCTTATGCAGAGCTTCTCAAAGCCACCGATGGATTCTCAGAGGACAATCTAATTGGTGTTGGGAGCTATAGTTCTGTTTACAAAGGAATTCTTAATCAAGTTCAGACGATAGTGGCAGTGAAAGTGATCAATCTCCAGCTCAAAGGAGCCTCCAAGAGCTTCATGTCAGAATGCAAAGCACTAAGAACCATACGACATAGAAATCTCTTGAAAATTTTTAGCGTTTGTTCCAGTATAGATTTCCAAGGTAATGAATTTAAGGCTTTGGTATATGAGTTTATGGCCAATGGAAGCTTAGAGAAATGGCTACATCATGATGTAGTCGAAAATGAAGGACATGAAGAAGAACCCAAAAATTTGAAGTTGATTCAAAGGCTGAACATTGCCATAGATGTTGCTTCTGCAGTTGAGTATCTTCATTGCCATTGTGAGTCAACAATTATTCATGGTGATTTGAAGCCGAGTAATGTTCTTTTGGATGACGAGATGACTGCTTGTGTTGGAGACTTCGGGTTGACAAAAATTCTCTCCACTGTTTCAAGTGAGGTGGCGCAACATGAGAGCAATTCAATTGCAGTAAGGGGAACCATTGGCTATGTTGCGCCAGGTATGGGTTCTTTATAATCACACAACCACAAAAGCACTGGTAATAAACATCAGCCTTCTTACATATGTTTACTATAAGATGTCCATTTGTTTTGATATCCCTCTGTTATAACAAATGCTTTAATACACATTCCAATCAATGTTTTGTTATTGTAATGTGTTTCTGTTAGTTACCATCAGAAGACACAGTTTATATTTCTCACACACGCATTCACAAACCTTAAAACTTACAATAAAAATGAAAAATTGAAAAATTTTATTGATATCTGTGAAAAAGCCAACATAATGAATGCCCTCAGCAATATTCTTTCTTCTAAAAACAGTTGGGTTATATTTTAAAAATTATTTTAGTATTACAACTTTGTGAATTAATTAGACTCTCAGTTTGCAAACTATTGGGTACTTACATTTGAATCAATTTGCAGAATACGCCATGGGCAACAGGGCTTCCACACTAGCCGATGTGTATAGCTATGGGATTCTCCTTATGGTTATGTTTACCGGTAAATATCCAACTGATAATGTATTTCACGATGGTCTAAGTCTTCATAGCTTCGTTGGGAGTGCTTTACCTGACAAAGTGATGGAGATTGTGGATCCTCGTATTCTTTTGGAACATGTGCCAGGAAGTTGGCTCAAGGACATCTTGGTTTCTGTCTTGAAAATTGGAGTTGCATGTTCAATGGAATCACCAAGAGATCGAATGCAGATTCAAGATGTAGTCAGCGAATTATGCAAAATAAAAAATGTGTGTGAAAGTTAAGGGTAGAGACAAGGCTAAGGAAAATGTTACCAAACATGAAGGTCAAAGGTGTGTCTCCTAACAACTCTCTTTGATACATGTGTTCATGAGAAAACACATATTTTACCCTTTCAGAAAAAACTAAGTTCGATTTCTCATAATTTTCGTTTGGGTTTCAATTCTGTTTGTGTAGGAAAGACGAGAAAATCAAATCATGCTTATGAATGCTTTATTTTCTCCGAGGATGCTTGGGACTATTATCTATGTTGTGATCCTTACATTGTCTTTCTTCAGCTGTGCGTTCAATAAATAACTTCAACTTTACTATTTGGATTTGTAAAATTTGTTCCTGTGGGGTCTTTTAGAATAACTGTGTATGAATTTTCTTTCCTTATATATCTTCTTTTGGATTTTTCTGGTATAATATTTGCACTTGTCATCATTTCAACTGTGAGATATGTGAGATATCTGAATGAATGTTGTATTCACTATAAATTGGTTACAAGAGTGATGCTCATTTATAGAGGAAGCACCGAAAAGAGAAGACAAAAGCTATGTGTAATAATGAAAGTGTGTGAGTGGTGTTTGGCCTTTACAACTAAAAGAAAAGAATCCTATGCTTTCTATGCTCTGTCCTATAATATATTATACTACATACATTATACATTACATGCACAGTATACATTAACAACCCCCCTCAAACTCAAGGAGGAAAAACATCAACCAACTGGAGTTTGGAGACAAGTTCAACGAAGCGGCCAGGAGAATGAGCTTTGGTGAAGATATCAGCAAGTTGATCAACCGAAGAGATCGGATGGAGATGGACAGTACCACGAGTAACGTGCTGACGAATAAAATGACAGTCAATCTCAATGTACTTGGTGCGATCATGAAAAACATCATTGTGAGCAATTTGAAGAGCACTGTGATTGTCACAAAAGAGGTCAGTAGCACCAGAGGGGGTAACACCCAGGTCAGCAAGAAGCCAACGAAGCCAGAGATGCTCCTGAGTAGTATCAGCAAGAGCACGGTATTCGGCATCGGTACTAGAACGAGCAGTAAGAGATTGTTTCTTGCTGCGCTAAGAAATAAGAGAATCACCCAGAAAAAAGCAGAACCCAGTAGTAGAGCGGCGGTCAGTAGGATCTCCAGCCCAATCAGCATCGAAAAAAGCACGAAGCTGGAGAGAGGAGCGGGTTGAATAATGAAGACCATGAAACATGGTGCCTTTGAGATACCGAAGGATACGGATTAAGGCATCATAATGAGGGGTACGAGGAGCCGACATAAACTGGCTGACAATATGAACGGCATAGGCAATATCAGGACGAGTAACAGTGAGATAGACAAGACTGCCAACCAGCTGACGATATAGGGTAGCATCAGAGAGAAGAGTGCCATCAAGAGGTGTAAAACGACTCTGAGGCTCGAGAGGAGTGGAGGCAGTCTTGCAATCTGTAAGACCAGCACGTGTGAGAAGATCAGAGGTATACTTAGCCTGAGAGAGAAAAGAACCCGTAGAATCATGAAAGATTTCAAGACCTAAGAAATAGCTGAGAGGAGCAAGGTCTTTCATCTCGAAATGATGGCTAAGAAACTGTTTAAGGTGAAGAATACCATCAATATCATCACCGGTGATAATCATGTCATCTACATAAAGCAAAAGCAAGGTGGTCCTTTAAGCTGTTTTCCGGATAAAAAGAGCAGTATCATAAGAGCTGGAGGTGAAACCACATTCATGAATAGTAGAGCTGAACTTGGTAAACCAAGCGCATGGAGCTTGTTTGAGACCGTATAAAGCATGCTGAAGTTTGCAGACTTTAAAAGGTGGATAAGTAGACCCAGGGGGAGGTTGCATGTAGACCTCCTCGAGAAGAACACCATTAAGAAAAGCATTGGTCACGTCCAGTTGATAAAGATCCCATTGTCGGAAGGTAGCAACAGCAATCAAGCTGCGAACAGAGGTGAGACAAGCAATAGGAGCAAAGGTCTCTTCATAGTCAATACCATATTCTTGGTTAAAGCCTTTGGCAACAAGGCGGGCTTTGTAGCGCTCAATAGATCCATCAGAACAAGCCTTGATTTTGTATACCCATTTGCAGCCAATGGTAGACTTGCCAGGAGGAAGATCAACAATGTCCCAAGTATGAGTTTTATCTAAAGCCTACAATTTAGTAGTCATAGCTTGCTGCCAAAGAGGATTAGAGCGAGCCTCACGATAGGAGGTCGGTTCATAAGTAGAAAAAGCAGTAGAACCAGCAATAAAGTCACGAAGACGAGTAGAACGTTGGGTTACCCGGCGCGGTCGAGCAGAGGGAGGAGGAGCCAGAGGAAGAGACTCAGCAGGAGGGGAGGAGCCCGAGGGAGCAAGAGCAGGACCATCAGAGGGAGCAAGGGCATGGGACAGACTAGGAGGCAAGGCGACCTTGAGAGAGGCTGGCAGGGGCTGTGGAGTAAGCGGATCAAAAAACTCGAGAGAGGCTGGCAAGGGTGGTGGAGTAAGCTCATCAGAAAACAGATCGGTGAAAGGATCAGTAAAAAACAGAGAGGGTGAGGGAACAGACAAGCGGAAGAGAGAGAGAGAGAGAGGAAAACATTTTGTGTTCCTAAAAGACCACATGACGAGAGATACGAAGTCATTGGGAGAGAGGATCCCAACAACGATACCCTTTATGTTCAATACCATAGCCCAAGAAGCAACAAAGGTGGGAACGAGGTTCAAGTTTGGTACGTTCATGAGGTTGGAGAAGAACAAAACAGGCAAAGCCAAAGACCCTAAAGTTGGTGTAAGGGGGACAGGTGCCATGCAGACGCTCATAAGGAGTGTGATTATGAATGACAGGTGTAGGGATACAATTGATAGTGTAAGCAGCAGTGAGAGCTGCCTCTCCCCAAAAATGTTCCGGACAAGAGGAAGACAGAAGAAGAACATGAGTAGTGTCGATAATATGCTGATGTTTCCGTTTAGCACGCCCATTTTGTTGAGACGTACCGGGACAGGAACGATGAGGTTGAGTACCATGACTCTGAAGGAAGGAAAAAAAGTCAAAATATTTATATTCCATGGCATTGTTGGAGCGAAAAAGCTTAATAGTTTTAGAAAATTGTGTGTTAACCATTGCAGCAAAATTGTAATAAAGTTGTTTGAGCTCAGAGTGAGTTTTCATAAGAAACAACCATGTAAAACAGGAAAAATCATCTATAAAAACAACAAAATAGCGGGCGTCGCCCATAGTGGGAGTAGGAGAGGGTCCCCAAATATCAGAATGGATGAGAGCAAATGGTGCGAGAGAAACAGAGTCACTTTTATTAAACGACAAAACAGGTTGTTTAGCAAGTTGACAGGACACATAATCTAAAGCATCAGAACTTACAGGACCTAAATGACCACTAGAAATTAAAGTTTTTAAACGACCAACAGAAAGATGGCCTAAACGATAGTGCTAAAGCTGAAAAGGAGATAAAGGAGGAGCAGTGGTAGCAGTGGTAGGAGCTGTGATCTGAGAAGAATCCGGAACATGAAGATGGATAAGTTCGTAGAGGCGTCCATGCTTACGGCCTATCCCAAGAGTTTGCCCCGTCCGAGGGTCCTGCACCAAACAACCAGTATGGGAAAAGGTAACAGTTAGACCATGCTCACATAATTGACTAATGGAGATAAGATTTAAAGTGAGAGTAGGCATAAGATATACATGGGATAAAGATAAGTGAGAGGTGGAAACAGAACCAACATGACTTACAGACAGAAGAGACCCATCAGCAGTATGGATAGAAGGAACATGAGGAGTAGAAAAGAGAGGAGTAAAAATAGTAGAGTCAAAGGTCATGTGATTACAACAAGTGGAGTCAAAGTACCAGGAAGTGTTACCTTCGGTGACAGACAAAGCAGTAGAGGGAGGAGTACCGGAGTTCTGCCAAAAATGTTGAAACATGGCTTCGACATCTGTTTGAGAGAAGACTAGAGTGGAAGGATCTATAGGGACAGAGGAAGGTAAATCCTTTGAGGCAGCAGCAGCAGTGCGTTGAGCAGGGATTGGTTTAAACGAAGTCCCAGAACGGTGTGAGGTGCTGCGGAAAAAATGCCCGGGGGAAGGACCATTGCGAGAGACACGGGTGGGATTGCGGAAGCAATCTTGCTGGAGATGACTAGGACCAGTCTTGTTGCAAAACCGACAAAGGCGAACAGGACAATTAACCAGAAGATGAGTCGACGGAAGACTGCGATTTTGACAGTAGTTGCAGAAAGTTGACTTCTGTGGTAAATGTGGGAAAGGAGAACTCCGAATCTGGGAAGTAGCAAGAACAGAGTCCACAGGGTGCGGATGGAGAGTACCAAACCGGGTTTTCTCTGACAGAAGTTCAGAAATTGCTTGCTCAAGAGTGGGTAAAGGAGTGCGATGAAGGAGAGATGCGCGTACTGGCTCAAAACGGGAAGTAAGAGCCATGAGAAACTGAACCAAGCGATGTCGGTCACGGTAAGTAGTAAACAATGCAGTATCCTTAGTACAATCCCATGAAGGTTCAGAAAGAACGAGCTAATCCCAAACATAATACATTTAGGAGAGGAAATCATTAATGGTCTGAGTTGTTTCTTGGCGCATACGGTGAAGATGACTCAGAAGCTGATATTGGTGAGCAAGGCCAGTAGTTTGATAGCGTTCCTGTAAAAAATCCCAGATGGCCTTGGCTGGAGAGGAAGCAGAGTCAAGTTGGAACCGACCAAACTGAAGGTTGATAGCTGTAATAGAAGTATTGCGAAACCAAGTAATGATCTGATAGTTTTTACTATCCCAATCCTCCAGACAGTCGACATATTTGGCAGCGGATTCCGTGGTTGCTTGGATGGGTTTGCACACATCCCCAATGATGATGCGCCAAAGTTTCTTTCCTTTGAGGAACCCAGACATAGCTTGTGCCCATAAGACATAGTTAGTCCCGTCAAGAACAATGGAAATAGGGTGGTTAGAGGAGTCAAGGCGATCCATGAGGGAAAAATAGTACTATCGAGGTAGAATCTGAAAAATTCGAGGTTACCAGTGAATTCAGAGGGTCGAAATCAGTGGGAAAGGAGTGAACTGACCAAAAAATATGACCAGAAAGGCACTAAATTGGCTTGTCAAAGTAAGTGGGCTGGTCTCGTCAACAATTCTGGTCAAACAGGATGATGTCACTGGCTACAGGGATGATGTCACAGGCGCGGCGCATGTTAGCAGAGAAGTGCGCGGCGTACAATAGCAGAGGAGAACAAGCGGCGCACGAAAGCAGCTAGGCTGACGTCGGCTGACATCAGAAACACGCGGCTCACGTTAGCAGATGAGGCCGTGGCGCACAATAGCACGGGACAAGTGTATGAGGTGCGTAGAGCGCGTCTGAGAACGAGGAAGCGCGTGGCCTGAAGTTCTGGCGGTGCGTGGAGGCGCGTGGAACGTCAGCTGTTGATGAATTTATAATTCATAAAACGATAAAATAATTTATGATTACTCAAAATATAATATAACTCACCTAACGGCTCCTAATTATACTCCCCTTCACCGCGAGCTGACTCCCTTTCTCTTTATGTTTGTACGTTTCTTTCTTCTATTCTTTTTTGTTCTTGTTGTGTTCATAGCACCACTTCTCCCTTTTTATGCTAAGGCTTTGTTTGGGATACACATTTGGGCTAAAATAATTATATAGGACAAAATAGGTTATTTTAATAAAATAAGATAAGATGTCACATTCAAACCATTATCATTTTATTTTTTTTTTCAAAAAAATAAAAAAAAAAAAAAAAAAAAAAAAAAAAACTTATTACAAACGAGACTTTTTAATCTCAAATTAAAATAGTTAAAAAAATTAAAAAGCCAATCTACATTCCAAACCGACTCTGTGGCACGTAACCTACCTAATTTGTGGCCACCATCAACCTTCTAGATTGAGGCTTATCCCACAAATGGGTAACTTTAGTTTAGTTGCTTATTTATACTTGGGCTCAAATACTAAAGTAATTGCATTATTATTTTTTTTTGGTAAAATACAATACCCCTAATTGTAAAGTAAATAATAATGAAAGTGTGTGAGTGGTGTTTGGCCTTTACAACCGAAAGAAAAGAATCATATGCTTTCTATACTCTATCCTATAATATATTATACTATATACATTATACATTACATGCACATTATACATTAACATCATCAGTATAGATCTTGTTTATTTTGTGGTTCTTGAAATTCAAATACACTATAGATCAAGCTTCTCTGCTTGTCTGGTTTTCATATAGTTGTGCTTTCTTTTATGACTTCCATTTGATCTTTGAAAACTAGACACCTCACATCACCCTTGTCATATATTATTCCTCTGAACAGCCATAAGGTCAACCAGATGCTTGCTATGTAAATGTGCATGGTGTGCAATAAAATAATATTTTTGAAGATATTTTTCTGATTGGGGCAGATCATATATATATTCATTTAAAATTTTGACTAGAACGTTAATTATTTATTTTGGAAAAATCCCCCTAATGTGGAATTAATGATATGCAACTTGCGATGATGCAATGGATGTACATATTCCTATATATATTCATCTAAAATTTTGACTAGAACGTTAATTATTTATTTTGGAAAAATCCCCCTAATGTGGAATTAATGATATGCAACTTGAGATGATGTATTTTAAGTCATATGAAAATATGATAATTTTATAATACAGATCTCCTAAAAGAAATGTCTGGTGCCCCCATTGTGACACGTCAAATATTTAATTAATTTTAAAATTATGTTAATATCAACTAATCATGGTTAAATAATAATAATAATAAAATTAAAAATTAAAAATTATTAAAAAAAAAAGAGAAAAGAATATTTTGTATTTACTAAAATGTAATTTACTTTACAATTAGGGGTATTGTATTTTACCAAAAAAAAATAATAATGCAATTACTTTAGTATTTGAGCCCAAGTATAAATAAGCAACTAAACTAAAGTTACCCATTTGTGGGATAAGCCTCAATCTAGAAGGTTGATGGTGGCCACAAATTAGGTAGGTTACGTGCCACAGAGTCGGTTTGGAATGTAGATTGGCTTTTTAATTTTTTTAACTATTTTAATTTGAGATTAAAAAATTTTTTTTTTTTTTTTTTTATTTTTTTGAAAAAAAAAATAAAATGATAATGGTTTGAATGTGACATCTTATCTTATTTTATTAAAATAACCTATTTTGTCCTATATAATTATTTTAGCCCAAATGTGTATCCCAAACAAAGCCTTAGCATAAAAAGGGAGAAGTGGTGCTATGAACACAACAAGAACAAAAAAGAATAGAAGAAAGAAACGTACAAACATAAAGAGAAAGGGAGTCAGCTCGCGGTGAAGGGGAGTATAATTAGGAGCCGTTAGGTGAGTTATATTATATTTTGAGTAATCATAAATTATTTTATCGTTTTATGAATTATTTTATATAAATTTTGTTAACATTTTAACTGTGTTATTTATTTTATGAACTCTATTTGCTTACAAATAAAAACCTATGATATAACTGTTTATTAAATGTGCTTTTAAACAATTATTTTACAAGACCACCACGGAGGTCCCATGGCTTCGAAACTTAAATAATCATTGGTTTTCTGAACTGTCAGCCTCTGACGGTCTTATGCCTTACAGGATTTAAATAATCCTTGACCCTCTGAACTATCATTTTAGTGAGCTCCCTTGTCTTGAGAAACTTAAATAACCACCGATGTAGTTCACTTTATAACCTTTTGACGGTCCCATGTCTTGTGGAGTTAAATAACTATTGATGCTCTGATTAAGCACTTTATAACCATCTATTTATCATGCATCCACTTACCGTCTGTTCTGTTCTCTTCTATTGTGTCCAACGTTGACTTTGGAGAATAATTTTGAACATATGAAGTATTGTGATTTATGATCAAGTTCATATTTTTACGACAACTTGATTGATTAAACAATTGAAAATAGTGTTTAAAATCTGGTAGACTTCAACCAGTTCACCTCCATCTTCTTGCCTTCAATGAAACAAACAATGGATATCACCAAAGAATCCACAGCTGAAAGTAAAGTGGATTATGACCGGACAAAAGAGCTGAAGGCTTTTGATGACTCAAAAACCGGTGTCAAAGGGCTAATTGATGCCGGGGTGGACAAAGTCCCTAAAATATTCATTCGACCACCGGATGAACTTGTTGAGGAGTTGAAAATTTGCCAGACCAGCTTACAAATTCCTATCATTGATCTGAGTGGTATTGAAAAAGAAGATAGGCACGAGGCGGTTGTCCAGGAAGTTCGAATTGCATCAGAGAAGTGGGGATTTTTTCAAGTGGTGAATCATGGAATCCCCTGCAGTGTGTTGGATGAAATGATTGATGGTATACGAATGTTTCACGAACAAAATCCTGAGGTAAAGAAATCATACTATACGCGTGATCAGATGAGAAGAGTGAGATTGGAAACCAATTATGATTTGTTTCAGTCAAGAGCTGCGAATTGGAGGGACACTTTGAGCATCTCCATGCTGGTTTCTGATCATCTTGACCCAGAAGAAGTTCCCACTGCTTGCAGGTATGCAATTTCATCTATATGCTCAGATCCTGATTAATCATATCATTGTTGATAAATTTGGAAAGACTTTAGCTATTTACTTATAGTTGAAACTGCTCTGTGATTTTACTGGGTAAGTTGGTTACTATTTGACCTTATAGTAAAGTTGTAATTCTTTGGCACTTTAAGCAACATATAGTCAATTGATCTACAAATATAAAATAAATGGACTAAAGTTGTGCTTCAGTTAATGCTAGGGATTATGAAAAACATATCATGAAATCCATCATGAAGATTTTTTTTCCCTTGATTAGTGTGTGATGTTTTATTGTATAGGTAATCCAAAGATAGAGAATTTTTCATGATCATCTTCATGATATTTTTTTCATGATCCCTAATATTACTTGGTGCATGGTTGCTGATTTAGAACGGGGTCTAGTTCCTGGTGTTTGAATCATCAAACAACCAGAGTCACTAGTTATGTGATCAATTACCTATGTAAAATTTCAAATCAAACCATCTATCTATATCCATGGAATATCAGTTCCACCTGTTCTGTCATTACGTATGTAAAAATTGAAAATCAGAACCATAATTTGAGAAGGCAACTAATACTATATTTGTTCTTTATAATTTTGAAGAGCTTCAGCAATTGAGTACATTAAGAATGTTACTAAGTTGGGAGATACTCTGTTTGAGTTATTATCAGAGGCTCTTGGCCTCAAACGTGACCACTTAACAGCCATCGAATGTGGTGGAGGTCGCAGTTTTTTGGGTCACTACTATCCAGCATGCCCAGAGCCAGAGCTAACTTTGGGAGCTAGCAAGCACTCTGATCCTGCATTCCTAACTGTAGTGCTACAAGACCAGCTTGGAGGCCTCCAAGTCATGCATCAAAATCAATGGGTTGATGTTCAACCAATTCATGGAGGTTTGGTTGTTAATATTGGTGATCTTCTCCAGGTTTGTTCCAAGTCATTATTTGTTATCTGTCACATGTAACAGAATTGCCATGTGTCTAAAAAAATACTCAAAAAAATAAATTTTATGGTGGTGTGGGCTATGTAAAGACATAGCTCCCTGTTATTAGGTGGGCATATAGCCAACATGGAGTTCTAAGAAGACATGATAATTACTCTGATCAAAGAGTGTTCTGAGTATTTTTTCTAGGTACGTAGCATTGCTACATTTTTAAACTTTCTAATGTTTTTTATTGTTTTGATTCAGATAATATCAAATGACAAGTTTAGAAGTGTGGATCATAGAGTGCTTGCCAACAATGTTGGACCAAGAATTTCTGTGCCATTCTTTTTTAGTGGTGCTTTTGCAACTCCAAAGCTGTATGGCCCAATCAAAGAATTGATAACAGAACAAAATCCTCCTCTGTATAGGAATTTTCTGGTAAGTGAATATATTGGCAAGTTTAACGCTAAGGCACTTGACGAGTCTTTGCTCAACCATTTCAAGCTATGAAGCTATTAAGAACTATACATTTCCACAAAACTATTACCATGTAATAAAGGAACAAAGTTTGTGGGTATCAGGGTCTTTCCAACTGTTTCCTTCAATTTGTAATTCCCAGAACTATTTATATCATCATTATCATTATCTTTTCTTTTTGGTACTTTACCAATGGAAGTGCTGCCAACAATGTCTTGCTTGAACCAAATTTGAGGACTGATTAAGGAAAAAACTGGAAGTACTCTTATTTTTTGGTCTTTGGAACTTTCATAACACTAAAAGTGCTGTAGCGGTGATATAAATCTAGTTACGAAAACTTGATGCAAGCCTTTACATACATTAAATTCATGCAAACAACCAAAAAAAAAACCATAACTATTGCAACCCAAATCTCAATTTCAGACAAAATGATACTCGCAAATAACTACGCAATTTTTTAAAAACTATTTTATTTCTTTATTAATAATACTATATTCTGAATTATGTTAATTGTTATTCTGTTACATTGTATTAAATCAGTATATTTACAACTTAATAGAATGTTTTAATAAAAAAAAAAAATTACAAATGTTAACTCAGAACCAATATTTTTGTTTCTTCCATTTATAGGCAGCTTCTAAAATCTTCATATTTGATGACTGGGACCCATACACACCTGAACCATCCTCAGTTTTTATCAGCCGTCTCTTCTTGACTTTCCATGGCTGCGTGGCAGCGACCAAATCAATATCACCTATCTCACCTAAACTTTTCTCTGTTCTTAACCACTCCTCCATTAGCATTGCCCTATCTTCTTTCAATTCTGATGCAGATATTCTAAAATAGTCAACTGCACTCTCAGAAACGTTTTGCGCACATTGAATGCATTGCATCTCATTCTTCAATAGATTCTCTCCATCATCAGTAAATGCCTCAAACATCGCGTAACCACACCTTCACGTGCTTCGTTCACTCCAGAAACTTCTCGAAAAGTGTCTAGCTCTCTCACGGTCATTGTTTGATTCGAAATCAATGTGTGCTTCTCGAAAAGGTGTCTAGCTCTCTCACGGTCATTGTTTGATTCCAAATCAATGTATGCCTTCCAAACGTTCACTTATCCAATGAGAATTGAGCAATTGCAAGCTCTAAAATACATCTGGCCTGGTCAATTTCTTGCAAAGAAGTCTCCATGCCACCGTATACTTGTCGAAAATCTTCCTTCTAGGAGCCTTTTTGATGGCGTTGTGCACCAGATGGCACTACCAAGTATACACGGTGCACCATTCAATTGGACAATCTCAATGTTTCCCCCATGTTTAATTTTCTCCAATACTTCAACAACTTTGCTTTGATTGTATTGTATGGCACTGTCAATAATTCTTTTTCTCTCTATCAATTAAGGCTATGCTATTATAGTTTATTTGAAAATCAACAAAACCATGATGAGTTATATATGCTAGTAATAATATTCATCCCTAGAGCATGTTGTATGCATCTGCTTAAAAGATAACACAAGGATTCATGTAGCCGACCCCATTTGATGGGATTTAAGACTTAATTTGGTTTGGTTTAAGTGCTACAAAGACTTTTAAAATAGTATAATATAAATGGATTTTGCTAATGAGTAAAAAAAAAATACTGGCTAAAAAGTTTAAAATAAATATACATAAGCTTTGAAAACTATATAAAGATTGAAAATATAAATTTTATTAATAAGTACCTTTTATTAAGAAACTTAAAATAGTCACTACAAGGAGAAGCAGTTTTAGCGACTAAAAATATAAATTTCGTCGCTGAAAGTAGGACAATTGGTGTCTAAAATTGAATTAGTAGCCAAAAGTCTCACTTTTGGCAACTAAAATAGTTTAGTAGCCAAATGTATAGTTATTGGCGACTAAAAATCAGTTTAGTCGCCGATTATATGGGTTTCAGCGACTAAAACAATTTTAGTAGCCAAAAGTGAAGGTTTTTGACGATTAAAAAAATTTAGTAGCCAAAAGTATAGGTTTTGGCGACTAAAAAATAGTTTGGTCGCCGATTATAGGTGTTTTACTGACAAAAAAAATTTTGTAGCCAAAAGTAAACGTTTTTGGCTACTAAAAAAATGTAGTAGCTAAAAGTGGACAATTGGCGACTAAAATTCAGTTTAGTCGGCAAAAGTGGAGGTTTTGGTGACTAAAATTAAGTTTAGTCGCCGAAAGTGGTTATTTTTAGGCGGAAATTAATTTTTTTAGCGACTAAATTATTGGTAGTAGCCGAAACTAAGGTTTTTGGCGACTAAAAAAATTTAGTCGCCAAAAGTGGCTTCCTTTTTTTTTAATAAATAATTTATTTTTTACATAAATTATATTGAATAAAAATAATTATGTTCATATATATAATTTTATATTAATACAGGTCAATATACTATATAAATAATATATTTTGCATATATATTCATGTGGTGTTATTGTGGCATAGTGGAGAGAGTGTGTTGCTAAAGGTTTAGAATGTGGGAGGTTGGTGGTTCAAAATTTGGGAAGAGCAAAGGGTAATTTTTTTTTTTTCTGAAATAAGCTTTTGGCGACTAAAATTAGTAGTCGCCAAAAGTTTCAGTATTGGCGACCAAAAAAATAGTCGGCAAATGTATAAATTAAAAAAAAATAATTCACTATTGGCAACTAAAAATTTAGTCGCCAAATGTATAATTTAAAAAATATAAATGAGCTTTGGCGACGAAAATTTTAGTCGCTACAGATTTGGTTTTTGGCGACTAAAAGTTTTTTAGTCGCCAATACCTTTCGCGACAGTTTTCCAGCGACCAAACCGGCGACTAAAAAATTTAGTCGGGAAAACTTAAAACCCGACTTTTGGAGACTAAAAATTCACTTTTGGTGACTAAAAATTTAATCGCCAAATGTGTTTTTTCTCGTAGTGAGTTATATAATTTTTTATAAAATGTGTCTCGTACAAAATGTATAACTATTTTAAGCACTAAGGTATTTATTAATAAGATTCTTAAAGCATTGTTAATCAATATCCTTAGGCCATGTTTGATTATCCAATTTGTCCGATTAGGTTAGGTTAATCAATACCCTTAGGCTATGTTTGATTGTCTGATTTGTCAGATTAGATTGTGTTAGGTCCCTTTGTTGCCAAATCCGCGAACAAACTCTGTTTTATAGAGTTGTAATTTTTCCTTGTTTTTTGGTCTTTCCTCTCGAGCGGGAACATTTGCGCTCGAGCGGAATGTGCACTATCTCAGTAGTTGGGCGTGTTTGCAAAAATACTGGGAAGTGTGATTTCGCGCTCGAGCGTAGGTTCCAGCGCTCGAGTGAAAACTTGTTTATTTGCACGCGTGTTTTAGTGAATTTGCTCGAGCAAAATGTTCTGCACTCGAGCGGAGTATGCGGCCCCTATTTTCTTTATATATGTGTTTAAGTCTTTTTTTAGGGTTAAGTCTCCCAGATCTGTTTTGGGGGCTCTAGGGTTTTGTTTTGGGGTTTGTTTGCTAGTTTTCCTTGATGTTCTAATTGAATATTAAACTCATGTTTTGATAAACATACATCAAGGAGTTTGTTTGTTCATATTCAAGAGTGTTCTTCTTCGGTGGAATCCGGAGATTCAAACGTGGAGTGTCAAAGGAGTTTGATACTGTGCATGGTCATTGATTCGACAAAAGAAGTTGTGAATTCAACTTCAATCTAGTCAATTCTGAGACGAAGATTGCAGTGAAAGCTATATAGAAGATTTGAAGACAAATTAGAAGCGTTTGGATAATTTGTTCGTTATCTTTGTAATCTTTCTTTTTTCAGTAGTGGATTGATTAGTGGCATTTCGCCCGTGATTTTTTATCACAATTGAAGGTGCTTCAATTGTGGTTTTTCCATGTAAAAATCGTTTGTGTTGATTTATTATTTTCGAAAACAACAGTCTAAATCACTTTTGTACGTGCTTGATGATTTAGATTGTGAGTTTTAATTGATTAAGAATTGGAATAATTAAATCTTGATCTAATCACGAATCACTTAGGCTTTTCACTTGGTATCTGAGAGGGTCACTATTTGTTTTTATCAAAACTATAAGAGTGTGATTTTGTGTGATTGGTGATATGGATTCAATTCGTGAAGGTAACTCAACTCATAGACCTCCATTACTTGATGGTACAAACTATTCTTATTGGAAACCTCATATGAGAGCGTTTTTAAAATCTATCGATGAGAAAGTTTGGCACTGTGTGATCTATGGGTGGAGTGAACCTATTGTCACCATTGATGGTGTTGATATTTCCAAACCCCTTGATAAATGGGACACATTTGATTATCAAAACTCGAGTTGGAACAGTAAGTGTCACGACCCAAGCTCTGTGACAACGCCGCACACTCATTTAAGTGAGCATGCAAGGCTAAGAGTCCAACACATAACCAACAATGTAAAATACTCAAATTAAATCCTTAATTATCATAATGCTAAAATCCATAAAAATAGATAATTCTTATCATATGAAATTGTCCACCAAGTCTACTAATATAATCCACTAACAAAATAATAACCCAAGTACTTAAATCATAGTTCTACTCTCGGCACTCCCACAAGTAAAAACCCTGCGCAACTCTACTGAGAATCTGAAAAAAATAAATAAAATAAGGGTAAGCTAGACAGCCCAGTAAATAACCAACCATCACTGCTAGCTAGATCAAGTATACAAAAAAAATAAATAGTCGATAACCAATAAATTTAATTTTTGCTACAATTCAATAAATGAACAATTATTTGTAAGATGGTTTCATAGCTAAAAATAAACAATGTACAATACATTTTAATTGAAAAGCCAACAAGATAATTCAAAGTAAATTCATTGTTCAAATCGATGGTTCAATTTTCAGATGGTTCAATGATTTGATTCACAAAACCCAAGTCTTGGTGACTACGGTTAGTTAGCCCGTGACAAGGCCCAGAACCACACATAGGCCGGTGGTAAAGCCCCAAAAGAAACTAGTTTCTGTGCCAATAAATAACTCCCATTGGTTAGGGTCCAAATCATAGTCAGACTAGAGTGATGTTCAAAATTCAAACAATATACAACTTTTAATAATATATTCAATATTTTCAGAATAAACCTTTGGTACAATTTTCAGAATAGTTTCACAAAATATTCAAATAATTTTCATAATAATACTCGATGTTGTTTTATACTTAACCCATATTTTATTT